TTGGCGGGGGCGGGGGGGGGGCGGGGATAAAAGAAGAGTCCTGCAGGACCTGTCCAGGCTGGAGAGGGGGGCAAGATTTTCAACGTTTTCCTTGGACTCCTGCAACCCAGTCTCTGATTTTTCTCCCTGTTTTGGGTCCCCCTAGTATTTCCTTCCCCTAGATTTTATTCCACCAAACTGTAAATCGCCGCTAATGCATACACTGTGTCTCACTTTAGCTTCTCTTTAAACACACACACGCAGAGGAACAACTAAATAATAAAACACAACAAACTCCAGCCCATTCTGCTGCTTGGCAGGCTTGGGAGTCCTTCTGCTGGGGGCGTCTAACACTTGTACAATGCAGAATGCTAGGGTTGGGGTAGAGGCTGGCACCAAGAAATGGAAGCACTGGTTGTTTCCTGAGTTCAGAGTGGAATTGAGTTTGCAAAATAGCTGCAGGATAAAAGACTAGAAAAAGAACAACTAGAGTGAAAAGTTTCAAAGAAGTCAAACAGTGTGGGTATTAAAAAAAATAGGATGATAGGGGTTCACTTTTTAAATATTTTTTAAATATTTTTATTGAGCTTTTTAAATTTCAAACATTTCCCACTCAAATCCAGACCCCCTCCCCCATCCATACCTGCCCCTATTTCCCCACCGAATCCTAAGCACCCTACCATACATGCTGAGTCCTACATCAGCTCAATTAAACAAGGGCTCAAAGGGGAGGTGGGAAATAGGTGGCAGACCAGCACTAGATTGAGAATTGTTTGAGACTGATTGCTGCTGGGTGAGGGAGAGTATTACTTACACATGACCACTGGGTGGGCTGACTAGACTCCAGTGGATGCATTTACACTGAAGGACATTTTTTTAAATAGAATCTCTCCATCCCATCTTTGCCTTTTCCCTTCCTGAAGATACCCTTCCTTTGAGATCTCAAGAAAGGGAGGGTGAGGCTGCTAAACCCAGAGGTCACCCTGACTCTGTGGCTTGCTGTTGATCTTTGTAGAAGGATAAGGATTTGCATTAAACTGGTAGGAGGAAGGTGTGCAAAAATCACCCAACCTGTGGCCAGCTTTAGTGACATTTCCCCAGAACCAGGCTGAAAAACTGACACCTAAGCCTTTAATTACCACGATGGTCTGTCACTACATTGCCCCTTTGGCTTCTGGAAGGGAAACTGGAGGTCAGTACCTCCCACAATCCCTATTCACTAGTGAAAATCATCTCCTAGTGCGAAAGTACCTTCTGCCAGCTTGACTGGAAAATATCTGTTGCCAGATATGTAGGATCAAGACAAAGCGAATCAGGTTAGCTTCTTTTACATTGTACTCATTCACATGTGCTGACTGCGTGGCTCACAGACATGTGGCAGCACCATTAAGATCCCAGGGGTTGATTTTCCTTTTGGAAAATCCTTGCATTTTTAAAAACTCATATATCTGTATAACAGAATTAAGAACCCTAATTATCCGTCAGGAAGGACTTGTAGATGAACTAATTGATGATGGCTCCTGAAGATTCTGAGAAGATTCTGAAGGGTGCAAAACATCTAAGTAAATACTCACATTGCTAAGGAACTCAATCCTTCTCCAGTATCTTCCATGTCACTATGTAATTGCTCTCTGGTGCAGATGTTAATAGTTGATCTTCAGTGATAAGGCCATTTTCTTCTGCATCATTTTCAAGTAAGTAGCACCTACAACCAGCTAACCTGCATTGTAACCTTCAAGACAAATATATTGCCATATTAGCTGGGGTAACAGTGTTCTCAAACACTGCCTCCTTGAGGAAAGCTTTTTCTAAACACATACACACAAAAACACAAAATCTCAAACAAAATACAAATTTCACCATCCAAAGAAATTCTTCATAACAAGTGTTAAACTAGCCTGAATGTTCAAAAGAAGAAAGGAGCAAAACCACATATTGAATATACTGCAATTTTCTCCTAGGCAATTTGGTTAACTGGTATTACAACAACAACAACAATTCAGCATCTTTCAGCATGCAGTCTTCTCTTTGGGGAATTCAGTAAGGTCTCAGGACCTTCTACCTGCAATTCCATGCTGAACATGAGAGGCTAAGAAAAGGAGGCTCATGTTTTCTTTCTAAATAGCTACCAGGGTTACACAGTCTGTGAATCAAAGCTGCCTTTCTAAAATGCTCTGATTCCCAGGAAGTGAGCTATGGTCTCCCACCTGGTGGCAACAAATCTAAGTAAGGATGTGTAAATTGGTTCTTTAACAACACTATAACTTTCTTGGAGGGATTGGGGTTTATATGAAGCAAACCATATTTGTTTCTCTCCAGTCAGTTGTACCTGAAAAAAAAAGTTTGTGTTTTTATTTAATGTATTTTGAGCAGCTGTGAAATTATAATCACACAAGTGATTGATGAAAGTCTGGGCAGAAATATACACTTGTGGCTTTTATTTGTGGAGTGAGGGGTTTGTGTATCCCTGATAATAATGACTATACAGTAATTACAATTACCCAAAGCTATAACAGTACAGTTTTTGCACACAAAACTGATATTTAGGGCTCATGTTTTCTTTTTTTTAATTTGTTGAATATAATTTTATTTCCATTAAATTACAAATTATAATAATATATTACTTATCATGTTTTCTTATAAAACATTCAGAGTATCCAAATTTATCATCATGTGAATTTATACAAATGTATACTTGGATAAATATTTACTATGAAAATAATTTTTATTATTTTCTGAAAAATAAAATAAGATAGACTGGTTTTGCACCCCCTCCAAAATAGCAAGTATTTATGTATGATGTTTGGTAAGTCTTACTTTATTATCGTATTACCTTTCCTATTTCTGAGTTTTTCAAAAGTGGAGACTATCTTTCTTAATGTCTGGTGCAATGCAGTCCTCCCTGGTTTTGCTCAATAAGCACTTGCTGAAGCTTGAAACCTATCAACTCCATTTCCACCAACACTGAAATTGCTGCTGAGAATAAATAAAATACCTTCTCATCCATTTCAAAGTGAAAAGTAAATGCATATATAT